AAATTACACAACATTTTGTGGACTAATGGTAGTAAGATTGTTCTTTTTGGGCCTAGTGGGCGGAGACAGTTTGTCAGACGACCCCCAAACACTGAATTCAAGCCACAGTACACTGTGAAGACCGTGAAGCATGGTGGTGCAAGCATCATGATATGGGGATGTTTCTCATACTACGGTGTTGGGCCTATTTATCACATACCAGGGATCATGGATCCGTTTGAATACATCAGAATACTTGAAGAGGTCATGCTGCCTTATGCTGAAGAGGAAATGCCCTTGAAATGGGTGTTCCAACAAGACAACGACCCCAAACACACCAGTAAACGTGCAACATCTTGGTTCCAGACCAACAAGATGGACGTTATGGAGTGGCCAGCCCAATGACATGAAAAATGCTGTTTCTGAGGCCAAACCAAGAAATAGAGAAGAACTGTTGAATGTGGTCCAATCATCCTGGGCTGGAATACCTGATCACAGGGGCCAGAAGTTGGGGACTCCATGCAACACAGATGTACAGCAGTTCTCAGAAACAGTGCGACTACAACCAAATATTCATGAAGTCATTCAAAGGAAAGCAAAATCTTCAAACATTTCTCAGTTTATATAGTGAATGTTTGAGTTTGTAAAGAAGAATACAAACACGGCCATTTTTTTGAACCGTCTAATATTCACTTTTCTTCAATTGTTTTAGAGGAACAACACAAATTTGATGTATTTTTCTTCCTGTTGTGATTTGGAATAGAATGTGTTGTGTTCCCAATGGTTTTTTTGTGGATGGAAATAGAAGCTATTAGAAGGATTTTCAGCTTTAGTCACTTTATTCAACACACTGATATTATTTTGAACACAACTCTAGATATGTGAGAGATTTTCTAACTTGTATGATAAGTGCCTCTGACTGCCTTCTTTCAGTACAGAAGAGGCTGAAAACTGCTAGCAATGCTTGATACTGGTAACATTTAACACTCCATAGTCTCTGGATTTATACAAGCTGGGTCATTTTCTTAATATAGATGGCTGGCAGTTGGTTTTAAAGACAACACAAACTGTATGCCTGTTGGCACACATGGCAAAATTATACTCCACATGACTCCGGAGCTTCCTTCTTGTCCTTGTAAGGACTTCTTACAATTGGCCACCACAAACGTAAACTATTGTGGTGCCTTATCCACCAGGTGGCAGTCTAAGCTGTGGCTGAATTCACCTATGGCTGGAAACAGCCCCCACTACACCTACCATGGAGTCATCCGGCTTCCAGGTCTTCCCCTTTAAGTCTGAAACTGCTTTAACAAAATCAGATAAATTATACAAGTGAATGTGTTTATTCATGCCTGCTCTAAAGACCGGGTTATAAAGCCCAAATATTTTTTTACCTAAATGCATTCCCTGTATTAAGAAAAAAAAGTGTTCCAGTACCCGAATCACCCCCCATATACTTGAGTCCTTACTTGGTTCAGTACTGTGCCTGTCTGTAGTGACTCTCCCCATTCTCACAGGTTTTACTGAGGCAGTGGGATTGGCTCCCACTGTTGTGAATCAAATCCTGTGGCAAGAGGGCAGGACTGAGCAGTGCTGTCTGTGTCTATGGATGCAGGCAGCATGACATGAGATTAAGTCCGCAGGTGTGCCACCGTAGGAAGCTACATCCTATGGTGGCAGACCAAGAGGAGGAGCCTGGTACTCTGGTGGGGAACCCCAGAAGAGGAGGGTTGAGAACACTCTGTGCAATGCTATTGCACAGAGCAGGTAATTACAGTATAACATGTGAAATAAGGAAAAAGAGCTCTTTACCCCAAAACAACCAATGTTCTTTAAAGGCAAGGAAGAGTCTTCTGTGCGCGTGATGGGGCCCAGTTGGTGTACAGTGAAGAGAATTGTGGACTGGGGAACAGTGTAAAAAAGAAGAGTAACACTCCCCTGCAAGAAGCAATTTTACAGATGTAATGTTCCTTTAAGGCACTAGTTGCTAGCTAATCTAAAGCAACAAGTGGCCAATCTGGTAAAAGTGATTGTTGGCAAGGGGTTACTCTTCTTTGGGCTACAAGACTTTTGGCACAATAGGGAAAAGGCCTCTTTAGCAGAGTGAATTGATGATGATGGTGGCACAGCGGTGGTTCAACCTGTGGACCCGCTGTCCTGCTATTGGTTCTGATGATAAGGCTGTGCTAAGTGTAGTCAGACAATAGCATCTAAAGGAAGTAGGCCGCAACTTCTAATAATAATGTGCAATGTCTGTAACTGTAGGTGGAGCCGATGTCAGTGTTCCCTGTCCATGATAATGCTTGGGTCCAGGGGCAGACTGACCATTTGGAAACTGAAAGCCCGAGGTTAGTAGGGGGCCCCATGAGATGCCCCTGGTACCTTTTTCATAGGCTTTTTTGAGTTTGGGCAAGGACATAGGGGCCCCATGATCCCCTATTGCCCGGGGGCCCCATGAGTTGTCAGTCCACACCTGCTTGGGTCTCTCTCATCCGAGGGATGGCATCTGTTGAATTCTGGCGGTCTTTCTCTTTCCTTCGATAAGACTTCCACGCTCTCTGTGGTCTCGCCTGCAGCTTTCTGTCCGGTCACCCGCTAGCAGATTAGCTCTCTCCATGATGCGGCAAGGTCAGCGATCAGCAGACTCTCCTTGCCTCCACTCTTTCTCTTTCCACGGCTGGGTCCGGTCAATAGAACAGGTTCTCCTGCAAATATAGCAGTTAAAGTGTTGAGACAAACAATTTACCACTGACAGGGGTGCTTACAATGGTCAGCTTTTATTTAATTATTTAAAACCTATATCCCAAAATAAAAAAATGTTTGCTGTAACTGCTTGTGTGCTGGTGTGAGCTGGAGTTTGGCTTCAATTTGTTAAATAAAATCTGCGAGTACATCTAACACTCCCCTCCCTCCAACTGCCAATGCTGCCTTCCAAGGTTCCCCTTGTGCTTCTTCATCTAGAGTGGGGGCTCCCTAATACAGGAGGTGTGTTAATGGCCAGATCACCAAGCAAAAACAGAGGGGAAAAGCTAATGTAGTCACCACATCTAATAATTAGTAAGCTGCAATATATTAAAGTGTTGGCTTTGGGATTGATACAGCTTTAAGAAAAGCCTCTTGCTAATTGCTGTTCCTGTGGGAGCAGCCAAACAAATCTATGACCCTGTGAGAGCAATCACAGTGTATTCTTTAAAGTGGTTGCAAACCCTTACATATACCCAGTAACTTGCCTCAGTTGATACACAGAGATGAAGCCAATCCTTCTACATAGGCTGTACATGTTTATCTGCAGCATTTCTCCTCTATAGCTGTTCAAATTGCAGAAATTTATACAGCTTGCATGAGCTTTCAGAAAGGGGGTGGGGAGCTGAAATTGCACTCCGCAGAGCTCAATAATGGGAGCTCTGAGAGCTGATTGGAGGGAAGGGCACACTCCCTTACACAGCACACAGGAACAGAGTTAGGCTGTCAGTAACTGGCTGGGCGCTGGAGCTCCCTCCCTTGTCACTTTTTCTCTTGGCGGAACAAAGCAGCAGACAGAAATGACTCTTTTTCTCTAGATTTGGACAAGCACACACCATAGAAGGATAGTCTTTGTTCATATTTCATGTCTGGGGTTTACAATTACTTTAAGTAAGTTAAGTTATGTTACTTTAATTACCTTAATTGGAGGGCAATTCATTTTTCTCACAACGTCCAAAAGTAGCTTGTACCCAGCTTCTCTGCAACACTTATCAGCATGAAGTGTCCTTCCAGACCAGTGACTTCCAGATATCCACTCAAGAGGAAAGCTTAAGCTGGCCATAAATGGATGAAAACGTGGCAGGTTCAGCAGGGGGACCGGCTGACTTTTGATCCATGTATGCTGGTTGTACACAAGTCGATCTATCAATTGTACAACCACCCTATAGGAGAATGTTCTCTTGATCAGTGCGTCCAGCTATATCTGGTAGTTGTGGTCAGTGATGGTGGGGAAGTCTCCCTGTTGTCAGAATACAAAAGCTCCATGGGAGGGATTCCTTCATCCACATCAAGTGTGTTGATGGGGAAATCAAGTCATTTTCTTTTGTTCAAACTGCTGGTTCAACAAAAAAAAACAAAAGGACCCATGTATGACCTACCTATTTCTCTAGCCTATTTATCATCTTCCAAACCACACCTCCTAACAACAACCTCATGGATTGGTTGGGTCAGATATGTATTCATAACTCACCAATCGTCCTTCCTACCCTAATTTCTGAAGGCAGAAGCAATCGATCCACTGAGCTTAGGGAAAGCCTGCAGAACCTAGAAAATGGTAAACAAATGCTTAGGCTGATTACAGCTTTGCAGCAAAGCACACACCACAATGTCACCACTTCCTGTCCCCCAACGGCCTACAGTGCCCAACGGTGGACAGGAAGCAGCATCGATGCAGGTTCAAGTACCTGTATCTCACAGAATGCGCACCTAGGATCCCTGTGATTGAGGTGTCACCCGGACACAGCACATCACTTTACCACTGTGTCTGGGTGATCCCATGGTCTGGTATCATGTTATTGCTGTGTCCAATCACATAGTAAACAATGAAACTGAAAGTAAGCTTTGGTTCTCTCTGCTGTCACTGTGAGAACAGAGAGGACCATTCCTGTGTGCTGGGAGGGTTCAGTAACATGACACAGTGCATGTTCACTCACAGACTGCAGTGCCAGCAAGCCCCAGTGTCCCTTATCACTGCCCCCAGTGTAGTACTAATAAAGATGCAGCCGGCACCTGTCACCTTTTTCAGTGTCAACAGTGCTCACAGTTATACCACCATACCAACATCCTAATCACTGCCATACTCTACAGTATATTACCAGCGTCCTGATCATCGCCATACTCTGTACCAGTGCCCTGATCACTGCCATACTCTGTACCAGTGCCCTGATCACTGCCATACTCTACAGTATATTACCAGAGTCCCGATCACCGCCATACCCCATACCAGCGCCCTGATCATCGCCATACCCCATACCAGAGTCCCGATCACCGCCATACCCCATACCAGCGTCCTGATCATCGCCATACCCCATACCAGCGTCCTGATCATCGCCATACCCCATACCAGAGTCCCGATCACTGCCATACTCTGTACCAGTGTCCTGATCACCTCCATACCCCATACCAGCGTCCCTGATCACCTCCATACCCCATACCAGTGCCCTGATCACCCCCGCCATACCCCATACCAGTGCCCTGATCACCGCCATACCCCATACCAGCGTCCTGATCACCACCATACCCCATACCATACCAGCGTCCTGATCATCTCCATACCCCATAACAGGGTCCTGATCACCTCCATACCCCATATAGCGTCCTGATCACCACCATACCCCATACCAGCATCCTGATCACCGCCATACCCCATACCAGAGTCCCGATCACCTCCATACCCCATACCAGCGTCCTGATCACCTCCATACCCCATACCAGCGTCCTGATCACCTCCATACCCCATACCAGCGTCCTGATCACCGCCATACCCCATACCAGTGCCCTGATCACCGCCATACCCCATACCAGCGTCCTGATCACCTCCATACCCCATACCAGCGTCCTGATCACCACCATACCCCATACCAGAGTCCCGATCACCGCCATACCCCATACCAGCGTCCTGATCACCGCCATACCCCATACCAGCGTCCTGATCACCGCCATACCCCAAAGCAGCGTCCTGATCACCGCCATACCCCATACCAGCGTCCTGATCACCGCCATACCCCAAAGCAGCGTCCTGATCACCGCCATACCCCATACCAGCGTCCTGATCACCGCCATACCCCAAAAGCAGCGTCCTGTCACCGCCATACCCCATACCAGAGTCCTGATCACCGCCATACCCCATACCAGTGTCCCTGATCACCGCCATACCCCATACCAGCGTCCTGATCACCGCCATACCCCAAAGCAGCGTCCTGATCACCGCCATACCCCATACCAGAGTCCTGATCACCGCCATACCCCATACCAGAGTCACAATCACTGCCACACTCTGTACCAGTGCCCTGATCACCGCCATACTCTGTACCAGTGCCCTGATCACCGCCATACCCCATACCAGATTCCCGATCACTGCCATACTCTGTACCAGTGCCCTGATCACCGCCATACCCCATACCAGAGTCCCGATCACTGCATACTCTGTACCAGTGCCCTGATCACCGCCATACCCCATACCAGATTCCCGATCACTGCCATACTCTGTACCAGTGCCCTGATCACCGCCATACCCCATACCAGAGTCCCGATCACTGCATACTCTGTACCAGTGCCCTGATCACCGCCATACCCCCCATACCAGAGTCCCGATCACTGCATACTCTGTACCAGTGCCCTGATCACCGCCATACTCTGTACCAGTGCCCTGATCACCGCCATATCCCCATACCAGAGTCCCGATCACTGCCATACTCTGTACCAGTGCCCTGATCACCGCCATAACCCATACCAGCGTCCTGATCACTGCCATACTCTGTACCAGTGCCCTGATCACCGCCATACCCCATACCAGCGTCCTGATCACTGCCATACTCTGTACCAGTGCCCTGATCACCGCCATACCAAACTTCTGATCACTGCCACACCCATACCAGCATCCTGATCATGCCATATCCCATACCAGCATCCTGATCATGCCATATCCCATACCAGCATCCTGATCCCCACCATACCCCATACCAGCGTCCTGATCACCCCCATATGCCATACCAGCACCATGATCACCGCCATACCCCATACCAGCATCCTGATCCCCACCATACCCCATACCAGCATCCTGATCCCCACCATACGCCATACCAGCGTCCTGATCACCGCCATATGCCATACCAGCACCATGATCACCGCCATACCCCATACCAGCATCCTGATCCCCACCATACGCCATACCAGCGTCCTGATCACCCCCATATGCCATAGCAGCACCATGATCACCGCCATACTCCTTGACCACCACTATACCCCATACCAGCGTCCTGATTACTGTCATACCCCATACCAGCACCTTGATTACTGCCATTCCTCATACCAGCACTCTGATCACTGCCATACACCATACCAGAGCCCTGATCACCGCCATACACCATACCAGCACCCAGGGGCAGGCTGACAACTCATGGGGCCCCTGGGCAATAGGGGATCACGGGCCCCCGGGCAATAGGGGATCATGGGGCCCCTGTGTCCTTACCCAAACTCAAAAAAGCCTATGAAAAAGGTACCAGGGGCATCTCATGGGGCCCCCTACTGACCCCTGGCCCTCGGGCAGTGCCCAAGTTTCCAAATGGTCAGTCTGCCCCTGGCAGCGCCCTAATCACTGCCATATGCCATACCAACGTCCTGATCACCGACATACCCCATACCAGCATTCTGATAAATTTTCAAATATTCTGTATATACCATAGTTTGTAGACTCTATACCTTTCTCACAGACTAAATAATATACACTGTTTTGGGTTATATTTATGAAAAAAATGTAGCAGAATACATTTTGGCCTACATTTATGAAGAAAGGTTATTTATTTGCAAAATTTTACAACAAAAACTAAGAAAAATGTGGGGTTTTTTTTTCAAAATTTTCTATATTTTTTAATTCATATAGCAAAAAATAAAAGACCCAATAGTGATTAAATACCACCAAAAGAAAGCTAAAAAAAAAGAATGATAAAAGCTTAATTTGGGAACAGTATTGCATGCCTGAGTAATTTGTTATTCAAAGTGCTGAAAGCTGAAAATTGGCCTGGACTGAAAGGGGGTGAAAGTGTCTGGACTTCAGGTGGTTAATTAGAGGCACACCAGTATAAGGCAGGGTCATTACACATATAAAAGAAACCAGCTTGATATGTCAGCTAACTCACTGATAATCATGCACTCTCCTAATATCTTATCTTAACAGATGTTAAAGCTGAAGTTGAATAAAAAAAAAATATTTTTTGCTCTACAACTTTAGTTACATTACTGAGCTGTGATTATGTTTGTCTCATGATGTACAGGCTTTGGGATTCTATAAAAATCTTTACTGCAATGCTGCCCTGTATTTTTCCTGCTGCTGAGCTTCCTGCTACAGTGGGGGTTAATACACTGCCTTAAAAAAGTTCTCATACCCCTTGAAATGTTTCACATTTTGTCATGTTAGAACCAAAGACATAAATGTATTTTATTGGGATTTTATGTGATAGACCAACACAAAGTGGTACATAATTGTGAAGTGGGCAGAAAATTATAAATGGTTTTCAACATTTTTTACAAATAAATATCTGAAAAGTGTGGCGTGCATTTGCATTCAGCACCCTTTTACTCTGATACCCCTAACTAAAATCTAGTGGAACCAGTTGCCTTCAGAAGTCAGCTAATTAGTAGATAGAGTCCACCTGTATGTAATTTAATCTCAGTATAAATACAGCTGTTCTGTGAAGCCCTCAGAGGTTTGTTAGAGAACATTATTGAACAAACAGCATTATGAAGACCAAGGAACACACCAGACAGGTCAGGGATAAAATTGTGGAGAAGTTTAAAGTAGGGTTAGGTTATAAAACAAATACCAAGCTTTGAACATCTCACGGAGCACTGTTCAATCCATCAACCAAAAATGGAAAGAGTACAGCACAACTGCAAACCTACCATGAAATGGCCATCCACCTAAACTGACAGGCCAAAGGCCGAAAGATTCCAGAACTTGTGCCAGAGGGAGCCCTACTGGATCTATGCTCTTGATGAGGACCTTGAGATTAACACCATTACCATATATAGAGCTGATGCCATTACACTATTCCTAATCTCCATTATTCCAGTTTTCATTTTGTACAGAACATTGCAGTGTATCTACTACCACGTGCAAATGTTCGGGTTTATGCTTTTAGCTTGGTTAGTCTCACCTGCATCATTCCATATTTAACACCATCCACGAACCAACTATTTCATCTCATATCGTCATGATGTGTCTCTTTCCACCTGGTTATTTAATTGATTCATTTTCCATGGCTGCCCTCTCTTTTTCCTTTTTAGAATATATAAGGTAAATTGAGTTATCTTAGATTCAGGTTCTTTTATATATGCACTATGTCAGTCTGTAAATATACAGTTGCAAGAAAAAGTATGTGAACCCCTTGGGATTACGTGGAGTTTTGCATGAATTGGGCATAAAATGTGCTCTGAACATCATCTAAGTCACAACAATAGAAGAACACAGTCTGCTGAACATAATACTACACAAAAACATTAGATGTTGCCATGGTTTCATTGCACATAACATGTAAACATTCACAGTGCAGGGAGGAAAACGTATGTGAGGCCCTAGCTTAATGACTTCTCCCAGAGCTAATTGGAGCCAGGAGTGAGCCAACCTTGACTCCAATCAGTGTGATGATATTGGATGTGTTGCTGACAGCTGTCCTGCCCTTAAAAAAACACACACCTGTTTTGGGTTTACTGGTTTCAAGAAGCACTGTGTGATGTGAATCATGCCTCGCAGAAAAGAGCTCTCAGAAGACCTACGATCAAGAATTGTTGACTTGCATGAAGCTGGATAGGGTTACAAAAGTATCTCCAAAAGCCTTGATGTTCATGTGTCCACGGTAGACAGACTGTCTACAAATGGAGAAAGTTTAGCACTGCTGCTACTCTCCCTAGGCGTGGTCGTCCTGTAAAAATGACTGCAAAAGCACAGCGCAGAATGCTGCAGGAGGTAAAGAAGAATCCCAGAGTGTCAGCTAAAGACCTACAGAAATCTCTGGCACAGGACAATGACCCAAAGCATACAAGTAATTCAACAAAACAATGGCTGCAACAGCACAGAATACGCCTTCTGGAGTGCCCCCAGTCAGAGTCCTGACCTCAACCCCATTGAAATGCTGTGGCATGACCTTAAGAGAGCGATTCACACCAGACATCCCAAGAATATTGCTACACTGAAACAGGAGTGGTCCAAAATGACTCCAGATCGTTGTGCGGGTCTGATCTGCAACTACAGAAAACGTTTGGTTGAGGTTATTGCTGCCAAAGGAGGGTCAACCAGTTATTAAGTCCAAAGGTTCACATACTTTTTCCTCCCTGCACTGTGAATGTTTACATGTTATGTGCAATTAAACCATGGCAACATCTAATGTTTGTATAGTATTATGTTCAGCAGACTGTGTTCTTCTATTGTTGTGACTTAGATGACGTTCAGAGCACATTTTATTCCCAATTCATGCAAAACTCCATGGAATCCCAAGGGGTTCACATACTTTTTCTTGCAACTGTATGTATATGTATCATGTATGGGGATGGCTGCATCTTTCAGTAGTACTATTGGTGATTGTAATGCCACCTAGGGAGCGCTACTGTCATTGTGCAACAACCTTTTTCTTTTTTTCATCTACTAATGTCATTTATTCGCAGTCTAATGATAAGCGTCCTCGATTAATTCATCCATCTTGTGGTCTCTTATATTGGCGGCCTGACCAGTTATTTGTAGTCACTCTTTTTTATTCATCTTCGATCCGTTCTGCCTACTGTATCCATCATTGCCTAGATACCAAGCCTCCGTTATCCCTCAGCACCGCCCTATTCCTGCCCCTTCCCTCATTTATGGATTGTTGATTTCACAGTGAAAGAGCCCCACTACTCTGACATACAGATGAGTTGTACCCTTACCTTTAATAAAAGTGGTTAAAAACATTTACAGCAAAGTTATTGGACTTAGAAATGCCTTCTTCTTCC